CAAAAGAACGGCACTAAAGGGGATGTCATTGCTCACTTGCGGAGTGGTGATCCCTTGTGCTGCCCTGTGACAGCGACGATTCGACAATTCTTATTACATCCTCGGGACCCTTTTGTGGGATCCCGCAAACTTGCGAGCTACTATAATCAACACAATGTGAATGTACTTGTCACAGCCCGAATGATCACTGACACCATGCGCTGGCACGCTGGGGTCCTGCACCACGCTACTGGGATCACTCCACGCTCCCTCAGCGCTCGCTCCCTTCGCGCCGGAGGCGCCATGGCGCTCCTCCAAGGTAAATGCGACTCTAATGTCATCAAATTACTGGCGTGCTGGCATAGTGATGCAATGATGCGGTACCTTCACCAGCAATCTCTCCCTCTCTTTCGGAAACTGGCATCGATCATGTTCAACAACGGCTCTTACGCCTTCCTCCCGGATGAGTGCGTCCCCTCCGCCCTCTGACAGGCCTCCCCGACAGGCCTCCCCAACAGGCCTCTCCCGGGGCCACACTCCCCGTCTCCCCACCTCGCTCCGCTTCTCCTCCGCTCCCTCCCTGTGGCCTGTGGCCTTATGGCAGTTACTATACTGTGTGTGCCGGTGGGTTGGATCAGCAGGCTCAAGGAGACTGCTGCAGTTCCCCCTCCAGCTCCACACAGCAAAGACACCCTAACCCTAATGGGAGAAGGGGGCCCTGCCACGTGGAAGGTTGGGGTTGCACAGTTTCCCGTATAACCCTGCTTAACCCACCAACACACCCTGTACTAGTATACATAGAGGACACGGTAAACTGAGTGGGACTCGTTACGGAGGCTGTTTGCAGCTGTGCAAACAGCGGAATTCTTAGCAACGGTAAGGAGACACTTCAAACCAAAATCTGGGATTTAGGGTTKCATCTGTTAGTCTGGAAGATTCTTCGTAGCCCCCCAAATTTTTCCCTTTTTGACGTTTTTGAGTTCCGACTAGAAACGCRTACGATACTGCAACCAGTGCCTGTGAGCGTACGGTACTGTATCGTACGATACTGTACGTAGTGATGGCCATGGTGGCAATTAGCCCTGTAAACGATCAATTCAATCACTGTTCGATCATCGTGTTCGATCTTCACATCAAATGTCAACCCGAAACAGGAACCATTGCCATTAATTAGAAGTACTTCAATTACCCAGCGGAGAAGGAAACAANTCTCGAACGTAGCGCGCCAGCCAGTCAGAAAATATCCTGAACTTTAATCTCCACAACAACAACGTAAATTTTATTTCAAAAATTCAAAATGCACAWAAGTCGAAAAAATGAGATAAGTTCCACATCTCGTACCGGTATCGATGTAGCGAGTCCCGCTGAAACCGGATCCAATCCCGCGCGCGCACCGCGCGGGAGAAAACAGCAAATGAGTGGAGGGGAGAGCCCCTACACAAGCTGCTGATGAGCAGCAACAAGAGGTGCGCCTTAGAGCTCAGCAGCTCACTAAGGACACTATTACTGTCCCTATCAGCAACCGAGCAACAGTAGTAGTAATAAGAGTTACACCTTTAGAGAGGACCTGGGGCTACACTCATCCCGTGAGGACCCGCTTGCCCCAGTCCGGAGTGGAGCAAGGGGGGCGGAGGACCAGAGATGGGGAGCACCGCTGAACCCCATCCTACCAAGTACATAGATCTCTTCCAGGATCCAGCCGCGAATCCCTTTGGGACCGATCCTATTGTACGAAAGAATGCTTACTCTGGGATCTACCGAAAGTTCCTTTGCACTTCCGCACCCGCTGCACCACTCACGGCCCAGCTCCTCCAAGATGAAGTCCTGGACCTCTTCGAAGCACACCCCATAGGGGGACTGGGSATCTTCKTAGCYGATGCYGGACCTGTCCCCCGGCTAAGAGTAATCCATGGGATCCGTAAATACCCAGGAAGTCTTTTGAGCCCTTCYGCGAACTCYAAGAAGATATTCGGTTACATCGATGATATCGACTCCGGTCGAGGAGAGATCGTCCAACTCACCACCAGTATGTTCTCCATTTCCCAAGAAGTAAGAGTCTGTACTGTAGGGCAACACCAAACAGCCCTAGAAGCCTCACCAGGAACACCGATACTTCCTCCACGGGCCCACAAGGACCCTACCACCGAGGTCACTAAGTGTCGACGGACCTTCTTCATACCCTTTGAACTAATGCCCTTGGTGTTAGGAAAGCAACTCCCTCCAAGGGAGGCCTTCCTAATTATCATGCCTTGGCTGGTTGAAAAAGGCTTAGATGCTGTATCGCAGCCTCTCGTAGATACCCTACGTGTCGCGGGTACTTATGTAACCTCAGCTATAAACACGGAAGTACACGCTATCAGTTACACTGAGCCGGGCCCACTCTTCAGAGCTGAGGCCAGCCTAACCCTGTACATGGATCGCAAGGTCCTCCATCGGGATCTGCCGGGACTTGGATCAGTCCCCACACACGTCGGTCCTGAAACTGCTGCTCTCACAGCAGCCGTATCCACACTAACCGATAACCAGATACGAGTCAATGAAGCGAATGAGCGACGGCGGGCTGAGGAGTCCAAGCCCGCCTCCATGGCAGATATCATCGGGGGCCTTAACGTCACCCGGCTCCAGTCCTTGTGCCGGAAGGAGTGCCCCGAAGATCTCCCCCCTGTGTATCAAGGCTGGACCAAAAAGAAGAAAGGGGAAAAACTGCATGCCCTCTTCCAGAACTATGTAGACCAAGCTGCTAAAGAAATGGGGCTCCAAGCTCCGTTCGTCCCCACRTCGGTCCTCAAGACCTTCCAAGCCTTTCGCTTCTATGGAGTCGACGAATGCGACCTGGGAGATGGCATACTTCCCTTGGTCTTTGCACCKCCTGGGGGGTCCCCTACAGCCAGGAAGAAGCAACTAGAGGACGCCACAGCAGCCCTTGCCTACGACACTCTAGTATCCACGGAACAAGGAAACTCACTCAACCTATCAGATGCCCTCATCCTGGGAAAGGCTAAGGGATATGTGCCCCTGGACTGGATCGAAGCCTTACTCCAGATCAAAGGATATCTTCCAGTACTAGCCACACTCATAGGAATAGATCATCAAGTCGTAAGGAATTACTTAAGTGGAGTAGACCGGTTGGAACGGATCCAGCTATCACTCTGGTATGCCCTATGTGATGCATGTGGAGACAAACTGGGCCCAGGGATTTTAGTGTACTATTTCCAGCTACGGATTCGGTACTGGTTTGAAGAGCAATGGAGTAGCAAGGAGCCCATTGAGCCCCCGGACTTTACGAAAGAGTTCCGGGCCTACAAGAGCTCTAAGAACCTGAACTGGCTCCCAGTCGTATCCAATGTACCTGAGCTGGAGGCCCTCCGCAAGACCAAGGCCCAGAGTAACTCCCCTAACACTGTACCCAGATCCAGTAAAAGTACTACCGCTGGTACCAAGGCAGCCAAGCTAGGGGGGGGGACCCTGAGCAACTCTGCTCCCCCCCAAGTGCGAGTAGAGAACACAAACCGGGATCCCCGTATTGCCAACGCGGAAGGGGAGTTGGGAGCCCGTATCAAGGCCTGGAAGATCTCCAAGGCTATGGGCAACATGAAATCGAAAGGAAAGGGACCCTGCCTCCGCACAGATGGGAAAGAAATGTGTCACTTGTGGAAGGCAAAAGGGTACTGTTACGATAGCTGTAAGCTCAGCTATGACCATAAGGAACCAACCGCGGAAGAGAGTGATCGATTCTGGGAATGGTGCCAGGAGGCCTACGGGCCCCAGTGAAGAGGGGGCAGGCAGCCTCCCCTTCCGAATGAAGCTGCTGTGCCGTTGCCCCCTCCTAGGAAACTGAGAAGGATGGGGAACACTGGTGTCACAGTTTGCGCAGCACATCCCCTGAAGGAGACAGAGGATGTTGATGGGGGGCCCGAGCTCCTCATCACAAAAGAATTAGGTAAGAAGCCCCGTGTGCGTGACCCTGTTTTCTTGGATGCAACCGCTACGATGAAGCCGCTGGAGGCCGTTCCAGTACTAGAGTCTTCCACTTTGGATAACCGAGACCCCGAAGAAGTGAAAGAACACAGCACAGACCTGGACAAGCGAGTACAGGCGGCTACTGCTTTTGAAACGACAGTACACGGCCGAGCCGAGCCTGCCGTGCGCCATCAACTCATCCGCTCCACAGGAGGGACCCGCTACCCCCAGGACCGGTTGGATAAACACGTAGCCCGTGCTGTAGAAGCCTACCAAGCTTCTACCAGCTGGGGCGATTTTATACGGTCTGTCTGAGGTAGGGGAGACCTACACCCAGCTGTAGGCACACTACCCCATCCAGCCAGCCGGCTCCTCAGCCAATACCAGCAAGAGGGAACCCCAGCTTGCATGAAGCCCCCAAGCTGGAGCCCCGGAAGGATCGAGGCCGCACTGGCAAGGGGACCACACAAGTCCTCCTTGAACGGGATAGAATTCCTCTGGGAGGAGTATGCTGACATGATGGACAAGCAACAGTGGACAGTCCTACCAGCAGCGCTAATAAAGCACAAACCTGGTCTCAGGCTCAGCCCATTAGGGCTTGTCCCCCAAAGGGGGAGAAGGGACAGAATGATCTCCGATTACAGTTACTTTGGAGTGAACGAAGAAACTGTCCCTCTAGCCCCCATGGAAGCAATGCAATTTGGTCGTACACTCAAGAGGCTCCTCCAACGAGTACACAGAGCCAACAACCGGTTTGGACCTGTCTATCTTTCGAAAATAGACCTCTCAGATGGATTCTATAGGCTCTGGGTCAAGCCTGAAGACACCATTGGACTCTCAGTACTATTCCCACGACGGGAGGACGAACCGGCACTAATTGGTATACCGCTTACCAACCCCATGGGATGGTGTTCCTCTCCACCAAACTTTAGTGCATGCACTGAGACAGTTGCTGACCTGGCGAATGACGTACTGCAAAGCCCACAGGGCCTCACCGCAATGAGGTCCCGTCGTCACAGGCTGGACCGGACCTCCGAGTCCCCCGTGGAGGGAGCTGGCGAGGCCCAGCCCTCCAGTAGCGAGCCTAGTACTGCCCAGTACCGATACCCGGAAGCTACCTACCAGATGAAGAAGCCTCTCCGGTACTGGGATATATACGTAGATGACTTTTGCGGGCTTGTCCAGGGGAACCAGTGGACGAGGAGAGCCGTAAAGAGAGCATTGTTCCACTCCTTGGACCGAGCATTCCGCCCACTGGATGCAAGGGACACGCCTCACAGGCAGGAGCCAGCCTCCCTCAAGAAACTCCGTAARGGGGATGCCACATGGGCAACCACCAAAATCATACTGGGGTGGCTGCTGAACACCGAGAACAAGACTATAAGCCTCCCCCCGCACCGTATAAGCCGACTCAAGGAGATCTTGGAAGCTATCAAACCCGGCCAAAAGTATGCCCGGATCCCGGACTGGCATAAGCTCCTGGGTGAACTTAGGTCCATGGCAGTTGCCTTACCAGGCAGCCTAGGCTTGTTTTCACTCCTACAGGAAGCTCTACGCCATAAAGAAGAAGGGAGAAATAGACTTCGACTGACTGGAGCTTTGCACAGCTTCTTAGATGATTTTCGATGGTTGGCAAAGGATATMTCAGAACGACCCACTCGCATAGCGGAGTTGGTCCCGGATCCATGGCCAGCCACCATAGGAGCCTGTGATGCCGCAGGACCCGGAATGGGAGGGGTACACTTCATTCCCCTGGGCGATGGGACTATTCAGCCAATATGCTGGAGGGAGCGATTCCCKGACTGGATTCGCCGGGAGCTGGTGTCCTGGTCCAACCCACAAGGATCTATCACAAACAGTGACCTGGAACTAGCCGGATCCCTAGCACAAAACGATGTACTCACACAGTATGCGGATGTTGCAGAAAGAACTATCCACAACCTGTATGATAAYACTGCCACAGTACATTGGCAGAGGAAGGGAGCAACCACAACAACAGGTCCGGCAGCCTACCTCCTTCGAGCCCAATCACTGCACCAGCGGCTCTTCCGTTATGTCCCACTTTCAGACTACATCCCAGGACCGGCCAACTCCATGGCAGATACTTTATCTAGAGCTTGGGAACTATCTAACAAACAGCTTTTGCACCATTTTAATCACACCTATCCCCAAACAGTATCCTGGGAACTAAGTCATCTCCGGAAGCCCATGCGTTCTTATCTGATCTCCGCACTGTCCAAACGGAGATGCGATCCAGCGTTACTGAAGGCTATGCCCGTAAGAAGGACGCCCATTKGGAAAGCTGGCTTGGYTTCTGTGTGTCTGCAGGRCTGGACCCCTTCCTCCGGTCATTCAGGGACCCAGTGCCCTACCTCCAGGTGTTTGGAACCCGCTACCACGATGGAAGAAGTTCTCCCAGCAAAAAGCGTGCAAGAGCTCATACAGTATCGGACGCCATCCGCTCAGTGGGACAGAAGATCACCCGCATGGGGTCCGCTGACCCCAGGCTCAACAGGTTCGGGGCCCTTGACTTCCAACTAGTAGCAGCTCAACTCCGAGCCTATCGTAAAGAAGACAGACCCCCTTCTTGTGTAAAACCAGTGCCCATCACGATAATCACACGAGCTCTCACGTTTGCATATCACCAGAGGCCCACGAACGAGCGAAAGGCGGTGGCTAATATGATGTGCATAGCCTTCTTCTTCTGCTTGCGTCCTGGGGAGTACACAGGGACCACCACTGATGATCAAGCCTTCTCCCTGAATGACATTGCCTTCTTCATAGGCTCACGCCGACTCAATTCTGCAAC